GATACAAAACACCCCACCGACTTGTGTGACAGTATCTCCGCCTGCTTACACCACCTCACTATCTTCCCCTTCTCTTCCATTTCCTCCGCGTACTCGCTCACCTTCTCTTGCTCTTCCTCCTCTCTGATTGACCACAAGAATGGACGCCCGCTGTCAATTAAACCACGCGCGATTTCCTCCATCTGTCTCTTCGGCAGCACGCATAGGCTCCCGAACGATATGTAAATCACCGATGACTCTGGTTTTGAACTCAACCATTCCATGTAGTCATTGCGGGTGTCCCAAAGGTTTTGCCCGTCTAAAAGAATCGACGGAACCAATGGGCCGACTGCAATCGCTCTGAAACTGTCATCGAGGACTCTTAGAGCGTCGGCTTCTAGCTCCTCGAACGTGTTCAACAGCACCGTTGGATTGGGTTCTTGTTGGAGGATTCGGAGTTCCTCTCCCATCAACGGCAGCACAAAAGCATAAGTGCCGGACAGGCATGTAATAAATGACGGCAGCTCCGGCGGTTCCAAAGGCGGCAGGCCCGGTAACTCTATTGAATTTGAAGCCGATGAGAGTTTGTTCTTGATTAAGTTGTCATCCTTGAAGTAGTAATAGAAGATGTCGAATAGCGTGGCGGGTTGGACCCACAATAGCGCCGAAGGAAGATGAAATTGGCGTGCCAGCTCTGTTGTCCAGGGAAGAAGCATGGTGTGCACAATACAAGTGAAAGGATGGCCACCATTCTGTTTGGAGGAGACTATGAGATCGGTGAGAGACTCGGAGCCACGACGCCGGAACTCCGACATGTAGTGCTCGGCGCTGGCTTTCAAATCGTCGCTGCCTTCTTCGGGTTTGTAACCGTCATCAAAGCCATCGGAGAAGGGGGCGAAGGAGAGGCCAGGGATGTTAGTTGATGTCTTGTCCATACGACGGTGCATGCGAACGGTGGTGGAGAGAGTGACGAGGACGCCCATGCGAATGAGTCTGTGGGTGAGCTGGAGAGCCGGATTGATGTGGCCTTGAGCCGGGAATGCGAGGATAAGAAAGTGGTGGTGAACCATGGTAGGGGCGGCGCGTGAGAAGGAACTAGTGAAAACCAATATCACTCACCGCTGGAGAATGAGATGAGAAGTAGTATATCTAACCACGGGGAAAACGAGATTATATTGAGGGGATGGTACAGTGGAGTGAAACCGGGGGAGGAATTGCACTGGAGGGATGGTTTATTCCTGGCTCGTGTTGTGTTTGTGTTTTTTTGTGGTCGTCTCAGATTGCGACAGGGTGGGGGGCCAATTATGTGAATTATTTGGGGGGATGAAGAGGCAAGGATCGAGTTGGCAGCTTCACCATATATAGCTTTAGACTTCAATATTTAGCTGTAAAAAAAAATTGAAAATCAAAACATCCAAAAAATCTGATCCGGTGGGGCAAAGCAAAAAAGCGAAACACAGTTTGATACACGTTTCTTTCTTTTTTTTTGTGGTGCAGCAAAAACATTTATATGCCTACAAAAGTAAGCGGACTATGCATGGCTTAAAACCTAATAGAATGATTTTTTTTTTTTTTTTACATCCCAGAACTAGCTTTAAATTTGAGTCTGAAAAGGTAGCTGGGGTGAAAAATGCTCATGATAATTAAAAAAAAAACGACTGAAACAACATTTTTTTGGTTTTTGACTTTTATTTAGATTTCAGACTTTAAAAATTAATCTTCTCATATGTATATACTATTGAAATAAAATTACATGAAACTGATTTTATTATAACAATTACAGAATTATATGTTCACATGAAAAATTATCTATCTGCTTTATAAATATAACCAAAAACATTCCTTCTCCTTTCTATTATATAGATAGGATAGGAGGAGTATTCATATCTAAATCACATTGTGGATTAACTTTTTATTCTAACCTCTATTTGTAAGAGTCACAAAAATCAATCCAGACAAGTGTCTGTAGTTGATGACAGAATGCCGCTCATTTTAGCGTGATTGGGTAGAGATGAAAATAATGAAATGGTAATGATGTCTTGTCTTAACAGAAAAGTCAATGCGTGCACTGATTTGATTGAGGCCTTGATGCTTGTTGGATATATTCAATGCACGTTTAGTTGACGAGATTAAAAATTCATGATGTGCGCTCCTCCTGGTATTATTATAAACTTTAAATAATTAATTTACAGATAATAAATAATTAGTTCAAGTTAGTTGAAAACAATAAATATATTATAAATATATTTTTACCTTCAAATATACCCTTATAATAAACTAAGAAAAAAAATAAAAGATAATGTACGGAGAAATGTGACAAGAGAAAAATAATTAAGAGTAACGTTGAAAAAATATACTAAATGTTAAGAAAAAACAAAGTTAAAACTTATAAAATGGACCACGCTCTTTCCTGAATTTAAAGCTGATATGTAGGACTACAAGGAGTAATTATTAGTATAAGACAATTCTAACTCATTCTCATATACACGAAAAAATACATTAAATTGATAGGACTATAATTATATGATAAAAATTATAAAAGCGGCCTAACTACACCCTATACAGATTAGGGAAAGCTAAGATGACGATTTTCTCTCATAATAATATCAATAAATTGATAAGAATATTAAAGAAATTTAGATTGAGAAACAGAAGATAATGGATTTCACTCACATGCTGTTTTGGACATGAGTACGATTACCCTGTGCTTGACCCGTACCTATGGGCGCCCTGTCCAGCCACCGAACTACAAAGCCTCTGGTCATTAAATAACTTTAATGATGAGTTCAATGCATGTCTGCTAGCACTACGAGACACTTATTGACTGTTCATGAATGTAAAGTGCGAATAAACAGGCTTTACTTTTTGATAGTCGCAGGGTAAGTTATGAACCATCATAATCAGAATTCTTAAGTTTAAAGAGTTAAGAGGCATGAATAGAGTTTTTGGGGCTGTTCTGCTGCTGGGCTTCACAGCTCGATGTAAGTAATCAACAGTTGCCAGTGTTGTTATATTGTAGGATAATATCCATGGCAGAATAATAATGAGGTTAAATTCTGGATGAATGAACAACGCAGGGATCAAGGGACAGTGCTCGTTAAGTGATGTGACGGTGAAACAGACAAGAACAGGGGCGACAATGAAGAACAAAACAGAGTGGGGAGTGACAGTCGCCAATGGATGCGCATGTGTGCAGTTGAATGTAACGCTGTCATGCACTGGTTTTCGAACTGTGGAGGCTGTCGATCCTTCCACGTATTACTGTGTCGGGGGATCATTGTATGCTCCTCAACGGCCAATCAATCGCCAGGGATCATCCCGTCAGTTTCAAGCATGCTTGGGATGATTCCTTCCGGCTGCCTCCCCTGTCCTCCCAGCTTGCCTGTTCCTAAAATTCAAGGGCTGCTTTGATTTTTGTCAATATACTATCAAGTATCAACCACCCTCCTGCGGTCCTGCCCTTTCGTTTCGCCTCTGGGGAGTTTGTGAAATAAATCATAGTACTATTTACCAGTTATATATGAAGAATCTGACTTGGCGTGACTTTTATTATTCGTGGTTTTTCCCGAAGTTTACTACTTAGGTTGATACGAAGATGCTGGTTAAAAATAAGACAACGATGTTAAGTGTTACTAATCAATACTGTCTCCCATGTTTAATATAAGTTCTTGTTTGATTTTTATTTTGGTTCTAAATGTAAGATTCCAATCCATTTTGTCTTTTATATTTATACATTTTTTTCCTAAGAAAGTCCTTATAATAATAGTAGTTTTAGCCAATACATTTGATTAGCAAGGATATTTTAGAAAAGACAATACTTATTTATTACAAATAACTAATTTAACTTCTTTATTTAATCTACTCAAATTAATCAACTAGCTCTTATACTACCTCTGGTTCTTAATATAAGACTTCATTTAACTGTTATTTTGGTCTTAAATATAAAACCCTAATCCGTTTTATTTATTATATTTATACATTTTTTTCAAGGTAGTCCTTCTAATAATAATAGTTCTAACCAACACACTTGATTAGTAAGAATATTTTAGGAAAAACAACACATATTTATTATAAATAACTAATTTAATTTATTTCTTTAATCTTCTCAAATTAGTTAATTAGTTTTTATGATTAGAATTAGAGGTAATACTTAGAATCGGAGGCAGTATTAAAATACTGATCTATTGATTCATCATTCATCAACGTGGGGACAAGAAGAAGATTCATCAAACCTCAAATTTGGAACTCGCCGTCTCGCCCAGTCGCCCTTTGCACATAGCTCTCTTACCCTTAAAAAAAAAAAAGCCCCCGGACTAGATCCAATTGTTACTTTCTAGCCCAATAATTCGGGGCCCATTAAAATTCTGAGTTCCCATTTACCCATCTCTAAAGACAAGAACGTCCCCTCCAAAAGAAAAGAATATTGGAAATCTCAAAAGGGCGAAAGAAAGGAAAAAAGGAAAAAAAAAAAATTGCAATAAGGTTCCAAATAAAAAAATTAAATACAACAAAATCTCTTAAAATTATCAAATTATTTTAAAGTCTTAAAGAATCTCATTGTAAAAAATTTTATTTGTTTAATTATCAAATTATTCTTATTTTATTTTTAAATTTGTATTGATAGCTGAAAGAGCAGTTGTTAACAATTTATCAATATCTATCGCGATAGTTGTTAATCTTTACACGTTAAGTTATCAACTGCTCTTTTAGTTATTAATACAAAATTAAAATAAAAAGAGACAATTTAATATTAAATTAAATAAATTTTTTTACAATGAAGTCTTTTAAGATTTCAAAATAATTTAATGATTTTAAAAATTTTTTCTTACATTTAATTTTTTTGGACGAGATTTTGTTGCAATTTTTCCAAGGAAAAACGCGCCACCTAGCTAGTTTCCCGCCAAGGAAGGTCGAATGTTCCCGCCACCAAGTGATGCGCCTTGTGCGTGCCAGTACTATAGTCATTTTCCCAAACCTTCCCGCCAAATTATCTCGATTACTCCCCCACTCCCTTGTCAGAGCACCTCGCGGCCGCCATGGATGCGATGAGAAGAAGCTCCGCTGAACGGGTATTGCCGCCGCCATCTCTTTCCCTCTCTGGAGTCATTACTCGGAGCAAATACCAGCTCCGCCACCGTAGCCCCATTGGCCATCTTCAGTCGTCGGGCGCAGGTTGTGGAAATGACTCGGTCAACTACTCTTCGAATGACGACGACGACCACCTGCTTATCAGTGATCTTTGGAAGAAAGCGAAGCTGAATCAAGAAAGTTCCGTCGAAGACGATGGTGAGCCCTCTCCCATTCTGATAAAGGACCTTCGTGCCAGACGCGTTTATTCCCCGCAATCGGTTGGCGGGACTTTTTCTTACTCGAGTCCGAATGTCGATACTGTGGAATCAAAGGTCGGATCTAGTTGCGGAGATCAGGTAATGGTTGATTCTGGTTCTGGGTCAGCTTCCACTGCAGAAAACAATGACCGCGCAGAAGTTTCGAGGAGAGATAGCGAGATTGGTAGCTTGGGCGAAAGTTTGCCTTCGGAAAGTCGGAGTGGGGACGAAATAAATTCAATTTTGTCTTCAATTGTGAAGGAATATCGATCTGAGAAAGATGATGATCTCTATTCTGACGGTGCTTTGAAGACAACGAACAAAGAAACCGAAGGTCCTGTTGTGGGCTATCCTTACAAAGCTCAGGATACGGATCACGCAAGTCATGAATCGGCGGGTGAGGGCAAACAGTTACAATATTTCAGCGGTTGTCGTGATGGTGCTGGTGCTTTTGAGATAGTTGACAATTCGAACGGAGTACCTAAACTTGCGACTCCCCCTGATGATATCGTGACGCGTGGTGAGGTAAAGCTTAATGGAGATGGAGGAAAACAAGTAGAGGCTATTCATATCAAAGATACACAGTTGACTGAAAATACTGATGGAAAAGCGGAGGAATCTTCATGCCCGAACGCTGGTGACAACAAAGATTCTTTAAAGAGCAAATTTGTAAGACCTTCCAAACCTCCAAAAATTTCAGTTTCCGATCAGTTATGGTCTAATGGAAGAGACATCTAGTCACTGGTCTTAGTGATGAATGATTTAATTATGTTGAAACTAAAGCTGATGAACAATTTTGTAGTCGGGATATACATTGAGTAACTGTGGTGAAAGTTCTAGCACTTTTATTTTCTTCTTTGTTCTGTTATCTTGACAGTATAATTTTACAACTAGTGTCAATCCAGTTTTGATATGAGATATTATGCAGGTGCTAAGACCACGCTTGCAGAGGAAACTGTTCAAAAGTCCAGGTTCAGTGAGCTACAGAAAGCTGCTTCCATTTATAATGAATATGATTAAAGATGATCCTGGTAATTATTTCAAGCCACCAGATCCTTGTGATGTTATATCTATATGTAGATGTGTATAGTGAAGAAGCTAACTGGCCTAATAATTTTGCAGGCACTTCATTACTGGGTCATCGCCAAAATGGTGAAAAGGTTAATGGTGCAAAACAATTCCAACATCCTTTGTCATCTCTAAGCCAAGAAGCTTCAAAAGACCAACTGATGACATACAGTGGCCCGAGGAATGATAATGATGACTTCAAAGTTTTGGCCGACAACAGTGATTTATCTGGTGGTAATCAGTCAAAACTGACGTCTCGCAAAGACTTGCCTGAATCGCCAAAGCAACTGAGTGCTAAAGAAGTGGCTCATGACTGTTCATCCGTGCCTTCTGTGAATGAGCACGTTGAGAACGTTGAGACTAGTCTTGAACGCTTGAGCAACATAAAGGCTGAAGTTGTAAATGTTCACTGTGACAAGGATGTTGCAAATGCTGTTCCCATCAGTGTTCATGGCTGTAAAGCAGAGGCTATTGATGGTGTAGATACTTCGGAGAAACTCTGCCTTGTGAGCCAACAATGTTTAAGTCTCCCTGACGCTGATCGATGTGGTGAGAACAAGAATATTCCCAGCAGCACAGATGTTATCAACACTTTGGATTTGACCCCAAGTAATAAGGCAAATGCTGGGGAGGGATTTTGCCCAAATGCTACGAAGGGAAAAGACAATGTTCTTAGGAGTAAATCTGTAAGAATCTGTCGACCTTTCAAATCTTAGTTTTTCATCAATTAGGTATTAGACATTTATTTGTTGATCTTTAGCTAAATTTTAATTGCGCTGCTTAGTTAGTTAGCTTAAAACCATAACTCATGAAAAATGCTATGATTATATCCTAGTTGACCTTACAATTTTTGCAATGTTAGACTGTAAGTTGAGTGCCCTTTTTCTTTATCCTTTTTGTGATTTTGCCAATATGCTATTGCAATTAATGCTCTAATATGGATTTGGTTTGAGTTTTTCGCAGGTACTCAAACCATGTTTGCAGAGGAAACTTTTCAAAACACCAGGTTCATTAAGCTACAAAAGGTTGCTTCCATTTCTAAAGGATATTGCCAAGGATGATTGTGGTAAATAACCTCTCAGCCCATCCTAAAAGATAAGCTTTATTCAATGTTTTCACTAAATATGAACTATGAAGCTAATTGGCCTAATAATTTTATAGGTGCCCTGAAATTGGGCCAGTGCCAGAGAGATGAGAGGGGTATGAGATCCCAGCCTCCTTTGGTGTTTCAAAGTCGAGAGTCTCCTACAGATGAACTTAAAACAGAGAGCCGCCCCATGCATGAGACTGTTAATGAAGCAAATGAGATCCAAGATACTGCAACGATATATGCTCTATCAAACGGAGATTGCATTTCGGAGTGTTCTCCTAACTTGCCAAGTTCTGTTGCTAATATCGATTCTCCATTTACGCCTTCAAGTCCCATTATGAATGAAACTACGACCGGAGAATATTCTACTTCTGTGTCACATCAGTTATCAGTTTACGCTAAAGCGAAAAGTGACAGTTCTTCAAATGGAGAGAAGCATCTCAATACTAACCTATATTGTCAGAAGCTGCAAACGAAAACCTTGGAGAAACACACAACCCCTACTGTTGGTCTCAAAAAGGGGATTCTTAAAAGAAATCCAAGAGGATGTAGAGGACTCTGCACGTGTTTGAACTGTGCTTCTTTTCGTCTTCATGCTGAGAGAGCATTTGAATTCTCAAGAAATCTGTTCTTAGATGCCGAAGAGGTTGCTCTAGACCTTATGAAGGAACTATTTCATCTAAGAAACATGTTAGAAAGACGGACTGATGGTGCTAATGATCACCCTGTTGTTGATGAAAATCAGGTAAGTTCCATAAGAGCTGAATACGTAATCTTTCTTTTTTCCAGTTCTGTTTTTGTAGAGCTGGACAAGACTTAATGGATTAAGATCACCCCTTTTTCTGTTAATTTTTTAAAAATATATACATACTCTGCCTCTGTCTCTCTGCTTTTCTGAATACGGCATCTTATTTCTGTTCTCGGTTTTTCCCCCAATAGTGGCGTGTTTTATCCCCTTTTTCTTCCCTGAAAGCTTGCTATCGTGTTCATTTTTCACCGTGTCTTGTTCTCTGGAAATAGCATATGTGCAATCGAAGTATTGGCTCAGTTTCTTCTGCTATATGATTCAGGTGAAGGAAGCTTGCATGACAGCTTTTGCAGCAGAACAATTAGCCAAGGAACGCCTTAGCCAGATGAACGATGATCTCAACATCCATTGTAGAATCACGGTATGCCCATACTTGTATCCTAAGTGGCATTTTCAATTGATTGAATGGGTTAAAACAACTTATTTGAGGTTTTTCTCTTTCAATAATTGCAGAGCTTTCAGCAACCAAGGGTTAAATTTGCAAATTACATTGAAGAAAAAGTCATTTCACCAGGCAGGTTGTCCGGGCAAAAGTAGCACGCAAGACTTTGAAATATTTGTAATAACTTGTGTATGGCGTATTGTAACTTTCGCAAGTTATGCGGGAATTCCTTGTACATGGGAGTGAACTGTGATTGGTATATTTGAAGAATCCAAACTATCGAAGAGTCTGTTGTGAGCTACGAAGCATGTTAAAGAAAAGACAAGAAAAGAAAAAAAAAACTCCAGGGTGACAGATCGGATTCTTTTTTGTGTGGATATGGTGATGTCGAGGAATTATTGAAAATTAAGGGCTGGAAGGAAGTTTTACTGCGCTGACTGGCTGAGAAGACACCTGACGGTGTCAAGCATCACTTTGCTATTCTTTGAATACTGTAAAGTGTCCGAAATTATCTGTAGAAAGTCAAGAAATTAAGTAGTTTAATATAAGATTTTGTTTGGTTTTAAATATAAGATTTCAATTTATTTTATTTTTCATATTTATATATTTTTTAATATGGTTTTTTTAACAATAATAGTTCTAATTAATACACTTAATTAGTAAAAATATTTTAAAAAAGATAACACATATTTATTACAAATAACTAATTTAATTTTTTTTAATTTTTTTAAATTAGTTAATTAGTTTTATAAATACGACGGGACGCAGTATATTGACATTCAATAAGAAAAAAAATGAATAGCGTTGTACATGTTGCTGCATCCCAAGTTCTATTACTTCGCTGTCTATCGAATATTTGTCATATAAGTGCACTGGCTCTTGAATATTACGAATTAAAAGGAAACTTGAAGGTTTAGGTGTTTACTTGAATTTGGATTCACATTTTCACTTGTGAATGCAAAAGCTGTACAGGTAATGTTGCTCTTTCTACACGCTGTTGTCCAAAAATTATTGGGACTAAATCAAACGAACTCTATGTATCATATATCAGTTTCGATTTGAACAATCGACGCTTGACTTTCTAAATGCGATGAAAATTAGCTTTCATATATCTGATTTTGGTCTTCCTATTTTTATGAAGATCATGAAGTCTATACAGATGTAATGATTATTGCCAGCATTGTGCAAGACTGTATGAAGCTCAACTAGATTTATTATCACGTGAACGCACAGACTCATTCCACCTTGAACGACCTGAAAGAGAGAAAGTGGTACAAAGAATAAGATTTTATTCAGAACCCCTGAATATGTAAACAACTATATAAGCAAAACTTACAGAGAGAAAGAGAAAAACAGAGGAAGCTACAATAAAAGAATAACAACAAGACAGCAATATATTATTTTACATAGCCCAGCTGATCAAAGCCATAACAAACATTCTTCATCTCTCAGAACCTCGAATGCCTACACTCAGTGGGGAGGCCTCGAGGAAATCGCTTGAGATCATTGCAGTAGTTATAGATCATGAAGTACTTCTGAACCCATCTCAGTCTTCTTCTGCCATAAGCATCGAGCTCATTGGTCTGCCATGCGGCGTCAGAGAAGGAGCTCGCAGACTTGGATGAGAACCCTGTGGCCTTGAAGTTGCGATAGTAAGCCGTGAAAGGTGCTCTGGACCAATCAGTCTTCACCAAGCCTCCTCTTGTGGCCCAGTCATCAGCATTCCACAGGCTTGAATAGATCCTCATGGGTTGGTTCTTTGGGAACGGCACACCCAAAGACTCTGCATTCTTGAAAACCCTGATGGGGGTGTTATCTACCAAGAATCTGCAAAACCCAACATCCCAAAATTAGTATTAATTTAGATTTAGATTTGGATGCTTAATATACATGTGTATGGTTTTTTTGCTCACATGATGTGTTGGGGCTTCCAGATGATGGAGTAGGTGTGAAAGTTTCTGGTGGGGTCGAACCAGAGATAGAACTGTTGTTCCCTGTTGCCTTGGCCTTGGGTGTAGACATTGGTGTGAAGAATGTAAGGGTCACCGCTTAAGTTTCCCAGAAATTCAAAATCAATCTCATCGTGTGTTGGCCCTTGGGATGACAACTGCACAAAAACATGCAAATATTTATTGTCTTACTTTGATTGCCCTTCTTGTCACAGCATGAGACAAGCATCACAAATATAGAAACTTTCTTGTAAAGTGTGAATTTGTTTAATAGTAAATAACTTCGGCCACAAGAAATGATTTCTGAAACAGAGAACCATTAAAGCACAAGTCCTTTTTTTCTTTTCTTTCCATCAGCTATTGTAGTCATTAAATCACTGTACCACTCATATATTTAAACTATCGCTGTCAAGAATATTGAAGTCACAAACGTAGCATGAATGTGGACAAGTTGACAAATTTTCAAGTTTAACAACACCGAGGAAAAAACATAAAATAAAAATCCTGTAGCATGACTTGCTTCGGGGGGATAGCTACACTAAAATAGAAGTTCTCGTGAATGAACAGTTCCTCAAAAAAGGTTGATGTGCCTTGATAAAGAAATCCAATAATGAAGAAGAATAAAGCTGCTTTTATTTCGAACAAACAAAAAAAAGTATAATGAGGATGTGAAGAAAGGAATACGTAAAATGAAAGTGAAGCCAGTTTTACTTGACATGTAAAGTTTGTTATAATTATAACAAGTAAACATACGTAGTAAGCAGTGACAGTTCCTGCAGAATTGCCAGCAACGAGCTTGAGCTGCATATCAATCCTCCCAAAGAGGTATTCTTTCTTGGACTGAAAACCAGAGCCAGAGACTCTGTCTAGAGACAGAGATAGAAGCCGACCTCCACCGAAGATCTTGCCTCTGTTACCACCCCATGTTAGATCAAAATCTTGGTTGAAGTTACCAGCACAGGCAACCACCATTGAGCTAACCACTGTGGCGACAAGTAGTGGCAAGAAAAACCCATTTGAAGAAGAAGAAGCCATTTTCTTTAGGGAAGGAGAAGCTTGTGAGTTGTGATGTGAATAAATGTGTGAGAGAAAGGTGGTATATATAGGGGATGAAGGAGAATGGGTGGGGATGGGACGCGTGAGTGGGCAATAACAGAGAGAGAGAGAGAGAGGGATGAAGCTGGTGCCAGCTTAGCAAAGTTTTGAAAGCTGGAAGCTTTTGTTTGGGCATTGGTTACACACTTTTATCAGGTTCTTTTGGGTTCATTCATAGGATGTTATGCTATTCACAATGATTCTGTTTTTTTAAGGCTCTTGTATTAATGTGTAGACCCCATTTTGCTGCGAAGAATTAGACCGACTCAAAAATTTAAATTTTTTTTAATTGTTAGCTCGTTTTGTAGATTCCATGGATGACAATATAAAAGCATTTTATGGAAGTGTAAAGAGATCCGATAATACAAGAATTTGACTTCTCAAGTAGTTCAGCTCATTGTTTTTTATAATGCAAGTGAAAACCAGACAGCGGAATTATGCAGTGTTAGGAGTCCCGTGCATATTAACAGCGACTTGTAAACAATGCGTCGTCTTAAAATTTTTTTGGAGATATAGATGTAGATTAAGGATCAGTTTTTTGTTATTATGTTTTTAATAAAAAAATTTTAATCATCCCACATGTGATCCACAAAAAGTTTATTCCCATGTGTTTTTTTTTGGGTGTAACCTAGAGTACCTCCAAATTACTTTGAAATTGAAAATAATCTCTGTCAAGCTAAGGTTAAAGTCCTTCTAACAAATGTGTTTTTCAGGGTTTGAACTTGTGTTATCTACTTATGAGTGAGGTTTTACCATCTTGATCAACACTTGTTGATAGTTTAGGTTGATTTGACAATTTGATAATCAACTCTTGATTTACTGTACTGTAGAGCATAACCTAGAAAGTTAAAACGTGGTTATTTGACTCAAAACATTTCATTTGTGGTTAAGCACATTGATTTAAGTTCTTTATAAGTATATTTTCAGAATTTACAGAAATCTTTCTTAAAAAAATTTCAACTTCATATGTATGATACGCTTGGTACCGAGATATCAAATATGCACAAAATTCTCCAGAGATCAAACTTAAAAGAGTTATGTGTAATCTCTTAGTATTTATTATGAGGCACATAATTTTATTAATGAATCTACTGACTTCTTGCTTTGCCTAAAATATCTCATTTTGGCATGATTTTTCCCCCAGTGAGGGGTGAGAGAAGTAGTAGAAGAAGAAAAGGGGAATTTCAATAGGTGGTGGATGCCAACTGGGTGAAGTATGGAAGGAGAATAAAGCCACCAAGGCATATTATGTATTACATGTTTCATGGGGACCACCAATCATGGAGTGTGGAACCCCTAAGTTGATTCCACGTGGCGGGGTGAATTCTGAGTCAGCCTCCTCCTCCCATGTCTTAAACTGTAAGAAATTCAAACATGCTGATTACAATATTTAAGTTCAAAAACACAGTCACGAGGGTGGCAGAGATATGGGGTGGCATAGTTATCCAGTTGAGTTGTGTGATACTGAGAACTGATAAGCCTTTCTGCTCCCTTTGTCTCTGGCTGTTACATCAGCCTCACTTTGTCTTTTTTTATAAAAACAAAACCTCTTAGATTGGAATTGCAGAATCAGTCAATTATTACACAATTTCTCATATGAAACTTCTGCTCCGATTAGTTCATGAGTTCAAGAAGGCTTACTAATCAGAAGAAATCACAGCTGTATTATCAGAATCAACTAGCTAGCCATCATTTTTTGGGAAGATCAAACAGCAAAACAAAATCCAGAACCCTGAAACTATTATCTCACTGTACCAATTGAATTCTACAGAAGCCAAGGAAGGGATATTCTTCTTATGGATGGTCCAAACATTGGATGGGGAAGGGCTCCAAAAGCAAGACCTTGGAATAAGGGATATGTCAGGTCTAATAATCACAGGTAAATTTAATAAAGTATATGCAACTTTTTTCTAGGCTGAGCTAAGTTTATCTTAAAAATCTTTTTTGTGGTATATTTTCACATGAAGCTTTCTTAATTGTGAGGGTTTATGTTGAATTATGCAGGAAACAACTTCATTATTATAGTTATAATATGTTGAAACATATTTGAACTGAAGGGCCACCATGGAGAGTGACTTCTCACCTCATGATAATGCATTAGAGAAAAGTGAGAGAGATTCATAGTAGAAGTGAGTGGGAATCACCAGCTAGCAAAACTAGACAGAATCTCTAGCCTTTGCTGCAAAAGACATCTCATATGAAATGATGACACCTTATTTAATAAAACTATGTGATTTTTATGTATATATGGCTAACATTGGGGTTTTTCTTTTTTTTTTCCTTTAACTTATTTCACATCCATGAAACAGGAAGCATGCCTTCTTTATTTCTTTTTTTTATGATTCCTTTTGCAAAGAAAACAAGAAGCATGGTGGTGAAGGCAGTACCAAGCCACTTCATATGATTGATGCTTTCGGCCATTATATATGTACTCTTTTTTTTTTTTCATTTAAAGAAGCTT